ATGGATAGTCTGAGAGTTTTATACAAAAAATAAACCCAAATCCTATATTTAGTTGATATAATAAGTTTTATTTTCTTAATAAGTATTATACACATTTTTATAAAAAAATATTGTTTTATTTTTTTTACATTTGGGATTAAAAAGTAATTCTAATATATTTTATAAATCTTAATTTTAAAGTTTAACTATTAATTTATAATTTTAGCTGTTTTCTTTTTTTTTTAAAGATTTATTTAGAAATTATTGGCATTTTGTTTATTTATTTGTTAAGTTCATTATTCATTTATTTATTTTTAAATATTTTTTTATTATATAAAATATATTTCTATTATCTAATGTATAATAAAATATATATAAATTTATTCGTAAATTTTTAATATAAAAGAAAGAAATATAAAAACAAATAAAACTTGAATATAAAATTATATATATTACTTTATAAATAAGTAATTATTAAAATAAAAAACAAATTTTCATATTAAAAATAGACATAATAAAAAATTATATATAAAAAATTAAAAATTATTATTTAATTTTTAATTTTTCATTTATATATTTATTACAATAATTAAAATATCTTTTTATAATCTTTTATATAGAAGCTATTACTTATTATATATATAAAAAAATTCTGAGAAAAATTAAAATAAATTAACAAATTTTTTCTATATTAAGTATTATAAAAATTTTATAATTAAAAGATTTTTAATATATTTTTTTTTTCAGTAATATAGGATTTTTCATATATATCTTTAAAAGATTATTTTTATAATTTTGATTTTAACGAGTTATATATATATTTAAAATAAATTCAATAATATAAATATATATAAAATTAATTATATGAATTTGAGAAAATTACTTAACTTTTAAATTTTTTTTTTTTTTTTTAATTGCTTAACATATATATTTTATTTATTAAAAATAATAATAATTTTCTTTAAATAAATAAACAAATATACATAAATAAAATAATTAATAAAAAAAATTTATCTATATTAATTATTTAAATAAATTAAAAAATAAATTATTAATCAATAAATCTTGATATATAATTAAAAATAATTTATTAATTTTTTTGTATTATAATGTATAATTTTCCTTTTTAATGCGTAATAATCTTATAATTTTATAAATTGATAGCTTTTTATAATATTATTTATTTAATGATTTTATTAAAAAAACAAATGAATAACAAAAAATATAAAACTTGTTTTAGAAAAAACTAAACAGAAAATATAAATATATATAGTTTATTTATATAATGTTATAAATTTTTATTGCTTTTATAATTTTTTATTGTAAAATTCGATTCATTGCGTATTGACTATATTATTTAATGACTAAATTTTTAATTTCATTAAATATGATAAAATACAATAATCTTTTATTTTATTAAAATAATATAAAAAGCTCTTGTTTTAATTAAATATAAAATGACTGTCTATTATTTATTTATTTTATATTTTAAAAATAATCTATATAGGTCATAGTTTTTTTTTAAAAAAAATTCTTTACTTCTTCTCTTTTTATCTTAGTATTGATTTTCTTTGTTATATTTAATATTTCTTTATTTTAACTTCTATTATATTTATTTTATAAATAATTAAAAAAAAGAAAAATATAAATTTATGTATTTATAGTTAGTATTAAATTATTATTTAGTAAAATTACTATATATATATAAATATATATATATATATATATATATATATATATATATATATATATATATATATATCTATATTTTAATTTATTATATTTTTAAAACCTAAAATTTTAATTTATGTTATAAAAAAAAATATTTAATTGGGTTTCTATCTTTATTTAAGAAAAATACAGTTAAAATATATATTTATTTATTCTATTAGTCATTTCTTTAAGTGTTCTTAAACGAAATTATCATTAGAATCATTTAATAATTATTATATTTATTTACTTTAATGTATAGAAATAATTAAGAGTCCTTGTTTTTTTAAAAAAATAAGTTAAATACAATTTTTATGATACTAATTATATTTATTTATAATTGAATTATAAGCAATCATAAGTATTCATATTTTTTATTTTTTTAATTATTTTTTTACTTATTTTCCATTTTATGTCATTATATTTTTTATTATTAATGAAAATCATTTAGAAGTAGTTTAAATAGAAATTAGAATTCATTTAATCTAATTTTACCTATAAATAATAAATAAATTAATTTTAAGCAATTATGTATGGCTTTTTGTTATTTACCATTAAAGACTTTTTTCGTTTTAAAAGCTATTTAGATAAGAAAAGATTATTGTTTTTTTTTTTGTATTAAAAAAAATAAAATATATAACCTAAAAGAATAAAAAAAATTATCTAGTCCTATTACTTCCCAATATTTTAAATTATAATTATTCAATTTTATTTAATAAACAATCATAAATAACACCGATATCCTAATTAAAATTATTTATAAAAAAGAAATCAATACAAAATCTTTAATAAGTAAATATAAATATATACATATATATATCATTTAATATATATTTTTTTAAAAAACATGAATATATAATTTTTATATTGTAATCAAAAATTATATATTAATTCGTTTGCATTTTGTTTTAACTATAAAGCTTTAATGATTTTTTTCTTTTTCTCTAGCTAATTTATAAAATTTTGTTTTTCAAACATAAATGCTATATATCTTTTAATTTCATGTTATGGGCTAAATTTATTTAGAGTTATACAATTTTAAAAAATTATCTATTATATATAAATTAATTTTATTCAAAATATTAATTTTCATAAAAACTTATTTATACATAAATATGATTGTGAAGTTTACATAAGTTATATTTACGAATATTTATAAATTTAATAAGGTCTAGATATATATATAAATATATTATAATAATTTTCATCATTATATTTTCATTTAAATAGAATTATAATATAAATTAATATAAATCTATGATTAATTTTATTATTTATGTATAAAGTTCTAATAAATATAAATAAGTTTCGTTAAAATAATAATTATGACGAATCAAATTTTCGACAAGTAAAAAACTTTAATATATATAATAATAAATATTTCTTTGTTTAAATCTTCAAGATTATAATACTAATTTAAACTAAGATATTTATTACTATTTTTATACTAATAATTCAAATTATTTTTAATTTTTTTTTTTATATTAATTAAATACAATAAAAATATATATTTTTTATTTAAATATTTATATTAATATATAATTTAGCAAATTTATATTATATTTAAATTATAATTAAAATATATATAAATAAAAAATTTTAATATAAATAATAATAATTTATTTTTTATTATAATAAAGTTCAATATAATTATATTTATTAAATATATATTATTTCTTTATATTTTTTTTTTTTCATTTTATTTAATTTAATTAAAATAATTTTAATACTTTCTATATATTTGTATTTTTAAAAATATTTATTTATATATAATTTGTTTATTTTATAGTCATTTTTATTATTTACTATTTATTATTTTATATATTATTTGACATAAAATATTATAAATAATTAAATATTTACAATTTTTAAATTCAAATCATTTTATTAATAAAAATATATTTTATAATAATGTAATTTAGTTTTATATATTCATTCTATAATACATCATATAATTATTTTTTTAATATAAAATAAATTAAAATGCTTACAATATATATATATATATATATATATTTACAATATTTTTATTTTTTTTAATATATTTTAAAATATAAAGAAAATGCCTTTTTTTCAAAAAGAAGAAAAACCTTTCTTTTTTAAAAAATACTAAAAGACGTTTTTTTAAAAAAAATATTTAATTTAGTAAAAAAGGAAGTAAATATTTTATAAATAACAAA